GGCGCTATAACAAGGATATCTCTTTTTTAAAAAAAATAGGCAAAATACAAAATTTATTAGTAACAAATATTTAAAAATCTTATTCATTTTAAATACTGCACCTAGGGCAGGGATAGCCTGGTTGGTAGGGCACTGTGTCCATGCCCAAGAGGGAGTGGGTTCGATCTCCATCGGCCGAACACTCCCCTTGTAGTAAAATGGTAACTGATGCACGCTAAATCTGTCGAGTCACAAAGTCCTCCATGTTCCCATAACAAATCTTACCTCTAGAGGCACTGATCCAGGAGTTTCCTTGTCTTCTGGATTGGTTCAAAATTACAAGGCTACGCAGTAGATCTTTTGTTGTCGTAAACCCAAAACAAGGGTCGGCTGTTCAACGAGGGTTATAAAATGAATAAAGAATTGCACCCAATTTATCGTTAAGTACGTGTCAAGCATTTTATACCCTTTATATTTTATTCAATGCAGAATCCCAAATAAGGAATAAATTAATAATAATTCATCTCTTTCTGTGGATCATTAGATGAATCAGAGCACTGACAGTCTTTCTTATAATAGGTAACTTTTTATTATGACTACTATGCGTGCACACATAGTCTATTTTAAGATGATAAGAAAAGTTCAACTTAATTCAAATATTTATAACAATATAATACAGTTAAAGAACACGCACCTGCTTTCTATTCTCATTTACCGGAAATCCATGATATGCAGGTATTCATGCGAACTGTGTCAATCCAAGCTTGGATGACATTATATGAACTAATTGAAGAGCGAATTTCCATTATTTTTATATCATTTTTTGTAATGACATTGGTAGAAAACAAAAACATAAGTGCGTAGCTGTCTGTTATTTGGCGATTCTCGAGAGCTCTCCTTCAACGCCAATTGCAATTTTCGCCAAATGAGTCTTATCCAATATAGGATCTGCTTATACACATCCCGGTTACCTCGTAGTGAAACTTTAAAAATATTTTGAAAATTTACAAGAATTCTGCAAAATTCCGTGTTTAACTATCTAACAGATTATAAAATACTTTGCAGGAAGCAAATATATATATACAATGCACAAAAAAAAATTGCGGAACACCCTGAATTACTTTTGATCTAATAATCGGATTTCCACTAATAATCGGATGCCTCAAATATGCCACACCTCAATATGCTAATTAATAAGTGTAAACGATATTTTAAGAAACGCAATTTCTCTGAGTATCGGATTTTTGACTAAAATATAGCCGCAATCTGGTCCCAATAGTTTGATCAGGAGAGTGGTCTAAAGTCCTTGATGTTAATTTTACTTTTTGCCTATTTCACTCTATCTAGAGAACTTTTTAAGCGAATTGAAAAAGTGCATAATTTTGTTTATCCAAAAATAATTCCATGCAAAAAATAACTTATAATAAATATTTGCTATATTTTATTATATTTAATAATGGTCGAAAAAACGTTGAAAGTGTAAACACCTGATAGATTATCGGAATTATATTTGTACTAAAATATAAAATCCAAAAAAAAAAAAAATAGTTTAATGATGCACAGAATTCATTTGCATATAATTTTAATTAAGTTTTTGAGCTAAATAAATTTTGTTTTAGAATTCCTATATTTTTTCAATAGGATTTCAATAGTATATATTTTGGTACCTTTTAATTATAAAAACCAATCCAATAGGTACTGAAAAAACCTGTTACATTATCTGAATTATATTTATACTAAAATATAAAATCCAAAAGGAAGTAGCGATAAGTTATAATTTAAGTACTTGCCAGAATATCCATTTCATTAATATTTTTCGTCGTACACAATACTGCCCAGCAATTGAAAAATCGAAGTAAGAGACAAAAAAATTCAAAATTGAGATTTTTATATATTTGGCATCTTTGTATGGTAAACTACATATTACAAGAAATTTTTTGAAAGTTTTTTGACATTCTATTTTAGCGTTCTATTTGCAATGGACGGAAAATAGTTGTCAAACCACTTTTCGCGGAATCAATCGTTAAGCACTTACGCTGTTTTTTCAATTACGCGGCAGAAAAAGTGTTTCAAGATTTCGTGATTTTCCTACTCTCCACATTTTCCCTCCATCCGTTTGTAGAAAACCTTAATTTCCCTCCAACCCTGTTTCAGTAACTATAATCCGTTTCACCCTAAGTTGGCACTGGACAGAAAGGCAGGTAGACCGGATTGCAGCCGTTGTCATGGAAACTGGGTTACTTTTTAAGCTAGTTGGGGACATAAGGTAGAAAAAAAGGAGAGAAAGCGGCCTACATTGGCGTAAAAGAAGACAAAGCACCGATTTTTTCCCCCAAGAATCGTACTAATATTTTGAACAAAATACAAAAAAGAACAAAAAATTTTTAGAGCATTTCTAATAATTGATTTGAGATACTAATTGTAAGCTGATTTCCTATTATGATTTTTAAGATTTTTCTTATTATAATTTAAAGGAAAAAAAAGAGAGATTCTTATTAATGTTTTTTAACTAAACGAAACTAATTTTAAACGAAACAAAATTATATTTAAAAAGATAATTTTTTTTATCAAAACTAAGTAAAAAATACACAGATGCTCACAAATACTTTACTTTAGATACTTATTTTTGTATGAAACCATGCATTTATCCCACATTGCTGCTTAGAGGGGAAAGAAAAAGTCAACATAGGCATGAAATCATTGATCATGAAAAAGATCATGAGTATGTTTCATAATATTTACTGTTTAAATTTATGTTTTATAATATTTACTGTTAAATAGAAAAATCACATACTTTTCTGAAAAGTTCTTTTTATTATAAAAGAAATATTTTTTTCTGAAATATATTTGCTCCTATTATACAAAAGAACTTACAAACTCATCTAAAAAGCCGATCTATAAGTAATCTCTCTAAAAACCTCTATATAAAAGAAGATTGCTTTTTCTTCTCTTGAAAGGAAATCCCAAATCTTTAAGAATCCGATATAAAGCTTAACCAATAGCTACAAAAACAAACTAACAATGGATAACTAACAAAAAAAACAAGCTAACATTTAGTAATTAGCAAAAATAAAAAACAATCCAACAAGGAATCACAAAAAAATTAACAATTAATGCAAAAAATAACAATAATATGAAAAACAAGCCAATAATAAATAACTAGCAAAAAACAAATTAACAGTTAATAACTAATAAAAAAAAAATTTAAAAAACAATTAAGCGATGAACAGTACAGAAACATAGCCATCGCGAAAATTCCTCGTCCTCAGAAACTAATTCATCGCCTAACTAAAATACCTCCTTCTCTTTTGTACATTCTCTTCCCTGAGAAGGTATTTATAAACATTGAAACATGATAACTAGCATTTATTTATATCATTACACGCATTTAAACTGTAATTAATTCCGTAATAGCGAAGAGCTACTTTTCAAAAGTGTAATATTACATTTCCCTGTAGTGGGAAGATTTGCGTATAATGGTTTGACAATAGAAAGGGAAAAAGTGTGACCTTGAAACCCTCTTTATAAAGAATGTTGTTATTGATGGGTGGAATAGTGCATACTCCTTTGATGAGATTATAATTTCAGTCAGCATCAACTTCTTTAAAAATAAATTGTTTCGCATGTCATTCTTTTTTTAAAATTATTTCAATACATTGTTTTCCATATTTTTTAAAAATTTATTTTCTTCTCACCTGATTGCAAAAATTTAACAGTAGTAGTCAAATATCATGACAGAGACCGGCAAGAATTCTTATAAAACACAAAATGAGAAAACGCAGTTTTCACTGTTTTACTTCAGAAAATATAAAGGTGACATCAAATAGAAGAATTTCTGTGAATAAAAAAAGCATTATGTTTTTCGTTTAGACGTTTAAAAAGTTTTATTAGAATTTTGTCATTGAAATCGATACCGTCTAGTAACTTTAAACAGAAAATAAGAAAAAAAATGTACAAGGTCAAAGAAAATAAAATCCTGAACTTCAAAAATAAAAGTTATTAATGCTTAAAAATTCTTCCAGTTTCATAATGTATTTTTTAATGTCATTATTCAAAATATTTATGTGTTCTAATTACAACGCCTTAATTTTAAATATTTATGAGCGAGTGTAATATTTCCATTATTATATGCTCAATATGCTTTCAGTAATTAGCATTTAAGGTTTTTGTTTCTTAGTGATAATGTATAAAAAAACTTGCTATTATTATATATATTAAAATTAGACATCCCAATTAATAAAAAATTATCGAACAATATGCAACTATAAACGTGCCTTTATATGCTTTCTTTTATTTTACAGCAAAATTTAAAAACTAAAATTAGAACGACAATGAAACTATGACAACAACCATTGAGAAATTTTTATAACTTCAAAATGTTATTTTTTAATACCATAAGAAAATAAATGAATACTATATTTTTAAACAGAAATAATTTGTTAGTGTAAAGTTTGGCAGCTATTATCAGAAAAGTATCGAACATTCAACTCATTTCTTACAGAAAGTATAAACAGCAAAGTTTTCATATCCTTTAGTTGTGATTTTCAAAATCTGTGTGCGGCTTGACGTCATGAGGTGGGGAATCGTAGCTTCAGCTTTGAGCAATGAATTAAAAATTCTTTGTGTTAGTAATACATAAAAATTGGCAATATACAATTTTGTTTAATTATAACAAAGTTTTTTTAGTTTATTTTCTTCCTAACATCCATATTTCCAACATTCAATGAAGAAACAAAGTGTGGATATTTGACCGGCTATGGTAGAAACAGATATATTAAGTGTTGGTATGTTTAGTGTTAAGATAATCCGAATCAACCGCTTTGTGTAAGCTGAAACTCCTTCAGCGATTGCATCCGGAGCACCTATTTACTTAGTAGTAAAATCACTCATATTTTTTGTGAAATTCCTGTAGAATTAAAAATCTTTTCTTTTTTAATGAAGTTATTATTAAGAGCCATTCATTTAATGTGTTTAAAGACTGAGCTGAAGAACTAAACCTTCCTGGATTGTTTTGTTTTCAGTTTCTAGAATCTGGTGCTACGAGTGTGACACATGGTCTGATCACCGATGCAAAGATCCATTTAATGCAACCGCTCATCCCCAAGATCTTCCACCCCTCAAAAGATGCGAAGGATGTTGTGTAAAAATTATTATGAATGGAGATGGATCAAGTAAGATTTATTGTTATTTTAAAAACAGACAACTTAAAATTGAATACTTACTGACTTACAGTCACAGAATTTTGACTTACAGTCGGAAATTTATTTAGCGAAGACGCTAAATCCTGATAATAAGATCGTTATGCGGAAAATTCACTAAATAGAAAATTACCTTTTGAAAAAATATTTAAACAACACAAAGCGTAATTAAAATAGCAATTGATACACATTTATCATGTAAACTAGTAGATACTATTTATTTAATAAATCTTAAGCATAAAAGAAATCTGCACGAAAAACAAGAATAGGGCAAAATATTATCCAGTGTTACACTATCACGCTACATACATAATCAACGAAAAAAAGATAAATTTATGAATAAAATTATACTTGCTTTTATTATAAAAGTTATTTTAAACATATATATTACCACTTGCGTTCTTAAGTTTAATTGCTATTAATAAAATCAGTTAATTTTGTCAGAGTTTTTCGTTTGAAATGCAAACAAAAAGGGAAAGTGATTTTACTGCTTTCTCTAAAAGTTAAGTGGGTTCGAAAATCAATTCAAGGTCATTTCCCCCATAAAACTTTGAAATATTCTGAAATATTTTGACAAATAGGGAAAGTGGATTTCAAATAAAAGTTCGTTAAATAGAAGATTCACTTTGCTATATGGAAGTTATTCCACAAAGAAATTTCCAAAATGTTCTTGGTTCCTCGAAAAAAATCGCAAAATAGAGAAATTCGCAAAATGAAAGTTCGTTAAATAGAGATCCGACAGTACTTATACAGGGTGAGTAGTCAAATCTTTCAACAAAAAATAAGCACCTTTTAAGCACTCAAAAGTATTTTTAAGTACTACATAAATTGGCAAAATTCAAAATAATTTTCGTCCCGCAGTGGACTGATCGTTAAGACACGGTTCCCAGCAGATCACCGAAGTCAAGCATCACTGGCTACGGTCAGTGTGCTGGTGGGTGACCACTTGGATCAGTCTGCGTAGGGACCGAGGGTGTGCGGTATTGGTCCTCGTTAAACTGTGCTACCGTAAAGTGCTCGATTTCGCG